AGTTGATTCCACCAGGTCGGAGCCACCACAGAAAAGGCCCTTCCCTGAGGGCCCGCCAGCCGACATTGTCTGGCCGACGGGACCTGAAGGAGGTCCAATCTATGGGACCTCACCGGTCTCTGGGAACTGTGCGGCAGTATGCGGTCCTGTAAGTATCTATTTTATTGAAATTCTAACATTTCAATGAAACATTTTTCTATTTATATTTCCCCTGCCTCTATGTGCAAAATTAAAGCACAGCAAGTAATTGTTCTTGTTATTTCAAACCGTGTTTGAGAGACACACAGGAACTGCCTTTTTTTCATCTCATTTCCAAGAAAGATAAGAGTGAGGCTGAGTTCACAGTCACACATCCTCAAAATATGGTAAATTTGGGTTTAGTGTGCTATGCAAAACCAGCCACTAGTTTATGAGTCATGGTTTATGGCTTGATGCAATATGTGAACATTGCAGAGATATAACAAACATGAACTCATGTTTGATGTTACATATCAAGAGTGGAATGAAATAACCATCCCTTGACTTTGAAGAAGGCAAAGTCAGAAGAAACTGCCTTTAGCATCAATGGTACACCATGAACTGGACTGAATTAGAGGCAAGGCTGAGTTACAAAGGCCTGTATCTAGCCATTACAAGTTTTCAGGGCACTTAAAGGGAGGCAAGAGAAATCATATGCATCATGACATCTTTACTCAAATGGTCATCTGCACAATGATGTTATGATGTATGTGATGTCATGATGACTTGTCATCAATGCCAGTGCAGGTCTGAATTGGACCTTTAACTGAAACTGCATTAAGAGTATAAAGTTTAATGCAGTTTCAGCTAAAGGTCCAATGCAAAGTTAAGAAAAATAGTCCAGTGGAAATTGGAGGAGGAAATGTCATATGAAAGATGGCTTTGCAAAAAATTGGAGCCAATGGTTGCTGCAAAGAAGAAAGACCTGGCAAGTGGACCAGCTCTTAAAACCTATTCAGACAAGGAGACAACTTGAGATCCCTGGCAAATGCTCCAGACAGCTGTTCCTCACAAGGAGACTGCAAGTCAGTGATTGCCAGTGGTTTTAGAGCTGTGGGAGAAATGATGCAAGATGCCATCCTGCTCAGACACTGGCAGGCACCTACCTTTAAAGGACACTATGTTTTTTTAATTACTTTTGCAAATTGCTTGTTAGCTGTTTTTCAGTTATTAGAAATCTTTGATTGACAAGTTTCTCTTCAATCCATAGCAAAAGAAAGTTTTGACTACAAGATTTAAAAAAAAATAAAAACAGCAAAAGAGTGATTAAAAGTTTGATTTTAGAAACCTACAAATGTACTAAAGATCCAGATAAATTTAAAATAAGATTTTGGAATTAATTATAAAGAATCCTTCCCGTGAGATAATGCTTTTGTTTTAAACCTTTTTAAAAAACATAGTAAGATACAATTTTAAAAATTAGACATTAGAGGGAACTTGAGGGAACTAAAGTTTATAATTAAAGGCGAACACATAAACAATTTACAATTACAGAATGGAGCAAAATATTCTAATATTGGACATACTGAACGATGCTTTTGAAAAAGTGGATTTGGAAATTATTATTAATAGTATCAACAGAGAACATCTCATCCTATGGAGAGATTTGTCTAAAAGATGTTATGGAAGAGAAACAAGTTTCATCTGACAAGTTCAAGACTGAATTGAAAGTGGATTTACAAATGATTGGCTACAATGATCTGGGAAAAGATGTTACACTGAACATTCAAAAGAAACTGGCTGATGTTTTAATAATTAAAAGAGACATACAAACAATAAACCAAGAGAATGACTTGAATAATTTTTCTATATTGGATTTATAATAGAGGCTTGTTAATGTTTTGAAGAGTCTTTAAAGAAGGGACAAATATAACTTCTACATTCTACAAAATTATTAAAGATTAAAATAGTTAGAAGTAAAAAGAAGAAAATATAAAATTGTTTCTTTGGATCAACTTTAACATAGATATGTTGTTATTTTTGTAATCCTTAGTGGACTTTTGCTAACACCAGGATTGAAAAGGCAATGCTTTTGTTTATAAATAAGAGAGAGAATGTGAAAGAAGTGCTCAATTGTAGTATTTTAAGAGGAGGTGTTAAGTTACTAAAATTGCTTATACTTGTTGCGATGCAGTTTGGAAGTCAGTTCTTTATCTCTTTTCTTTTTCTTTACTATAGTCTTATTTTTTTCTTTTCTATTTTTCTTTTCTGCCTCTTTCTGTTTTATATTTTTTAAATTGTATTACTTTTTACTTATGTAATTACAATTTTTAATAACATTACTATTCTAAATATTGTGACGCTTATGCACAAGACAAGAACATCACTTTAGAACAGAGAAAAGATCTTATTTAGTAGGATTACTACAATCGGCTTAAACTATAATTCTGCAGAATATTATCTAATACAGATCAAGTAAGTGGCCAGTCAAATTTCTATTCTTCTGTGCCAGAAATGTTGGAAGATTACGTTCTTATGGTGTAACCAGTGGTGGGATTCAAATACAGTATGTGAACAACCAGTTCTATGTGTGGATGCTGCTTCCGGAAGTCCATTCTAGGCCTGGGCAACAAAAAATTAGCTATCGGTTCTGCCGAACTGGTGTGAACCAGCTGAATCCCACCACTAGGTGTAACTAGATAGAAGCTTGCCTGCAGACATTTTCTTAAAGAGGTCTGTGTGTCCCTCCTCCACACTACCCTTAAATATAGCATAATATTCTGATCACATGGTCTGGAATATACACAAGACTGCTTCCCCCACATCCACCAGCTACGTCCTCATTGTTCCAGTCCCCACATATGATTACAAGTATGAATCAGGTTTTAACTGCCCAAGCCTGAATAGTTTGCTGAGAACCACAGATGATTAACCAAGACAACTATGTGAGGAAGTTCTATATTTAAAACATTTAAAATGTTCTAGATAGGAAAAAAAATAGCCCATGTTCCCCCACCCATACCCTTCCAACAAAAATTCTTCGTGGGAGAAATCATCTTCTATCAGTGCTTGGTCATTTCACAGTCAATAATATACAAATGAAGCCTATGAGAATAATCAGATATTGAGGTGGAAAGGGCTGGAAAGGCAATGATGGCTCAGTGGTGAGATTCAAATATGTGAAGAACCAGTTCTCTGTGTGGATGCCACTTCCAGAAGTCCATTCTGGGCCTGGACCACAAAAAATTAGCTACTGGTTCTGCCAAACTGGTGCGAACTGGCTGAATCCCACCATTGGATGGGCTGCATAAAAATGAAATGCAGGCCTTGGGGAATGGATTGATCAGTGTGCAGGTGGGGGGGAGTTATATTTTGATCATCCTAATGTGTATTCATTTATGGAGACATTTGATACAACGGAAAATTTGAAGAAACGGGAGGCAATGGGGACATTGCAATTTACACTGGGGGGACAGCAGTTTAGCATGAACATCTGTCTTGCTAGAAGCTCTGAAAGACAAAATAAAATTAATATTTCCATCAAGAAAAGCTAAAAGTTCAGTTCAAGCAGGCAATGGTGAAAACAAAATTGTCCAGCAGTAGACTCTGAAGAGTGATCATTTCAAATCATTGCGTGAACCTCCTCTTTTGTTCAGCACCAAGCTAGGCCATCTCCTCAATCAGTTGCCTCCCTCTCTGTACCCCAAGCACTCACGAGGTAGCAGCCCAAAGCTATTCAAGACCAATCCCAATATGAGTTTGATATACAAGCTGCCTTGCTTTCAATATGCATCTCATTTGAAAGTCCTTCACTGGGCAGCCTTCTATAACCCAGGCTCATCTAAATATGTAGTTAAAATTTAGATTCATAAACCCAAGGCTTCTGGATGACACTGACTTGGGGAAAGCTTTCCCAAGTTAATGAAACTAAGACTGATATAATATTGGAAAATCCAGCATTTGTCATTGCATCAGGAGGATCTATAAGATCTGCAGCCTTCCTATTTCCATGACACGAACCAACAAAGGGAATCATATTTGCCTCTGAGAGCAATTGGTGGAAAATGATTTTTCATGGGAGGAAGGTCAGAGGGAAAGCCGACTGAAGAAAGAAGGAAAGTGGAACTCAGATGTATTGTTCTGTGTTGTCAAGCCCACAAACACAGACTATGCTTAGATTTGCTTATGATTACATTTAACATTGTCAGCCAGTGGTGGGATTCAGCCAGTTCGCACCACTTTGGCAGAACCGGTAGCTAATTTTTTGTTGCCCAGGCCCAGAATGGACTTCGGGAAGCGGCATACACACAGAGAACCGGTTGTTCACATGGCTGAATCCCACCACTGCTGTCAGCAGACATTATTCAGTGGATGGGACTCTTCAACTGTGTCCCCAGGGACAGATCATCAGAGCAAGAGGATCACAGTCATGTGAAACTTCCAGTCATACCAGTAGAAGTTAACCTATTCAAATGGAATAAGGGACATGATTCCGTCAGAGCAATCAGTTTAGTTTTAGCTGAAAAGAGGAAGTGTATATGACCACCCAGCACTTCCTGGAGTGCAATAGTCTGATGGATTCCTTTGCAGATGTCACTCATGTATAGAAGTTACATACAGAGAAGGAAGGGAAGCAACATATTGTTGATTCCTGCCCACAGTGTAACCCATTTTGCTAGGAAATTTTGGGGGCTGTATTTCCAACATTTCAGAAGAGTGCCAAAGATTAAAAGGCTGGCAAGGACAGAGGTTTGTCCTTTCTGCTAAATTTTCTATGTTTTGGATTTAAATATTTCCTACCCATATGCATGCATACAGCATTATAAGGAGAGACATATTTTCAAGAAGCAAAGCTTGCTTCTGGTGTTTTTATTTGCTGTTATTTTCATTCAGAGTTCTCACCAAAGCATTCACCTCAATCAGAATTTTTTATATATATTGGTTTATGGGTTTTAAAAGTAGAGGTTTATTTATTGTCTAGCTGACCACACTTTTCTTACATAGTGAGTAAGATGCTCGCCCCAACACTTCTTTCCACCTACCTGCAGTCCAAGGACTTCTCTTTTCATGGACTTTGGGTTCAGTTTTCACTGGTCATGAGTTGGGAGCAGACAGCAATCCTGAACAGAGGAAGGACAGCCCTTCTCCTAGTTACACACATCTTTTCCTTCATGGCAACAGGTGGAAAGTGCAAAATGTCAATGTTCAAACAAAAAACCTGATGTACCCACCCAGGAAAAGACAAGAGAAGTAGCTTCCCTCGAGGAAGTCCCAGCCCACCAAGTCAAACATGGCCAGTGCATGTATAAAGGACAGTTGAGTAACCTTGTGGTTTCCTCCCCAGGGGTTGTGGGCGTTGCATGCTTTCTCTCTCTCTCTTTCTCTCTCTCTCTCTCTCTCTCTCTCTCTCTCTCTCTCTCTCTCTCTCTCTCATGTACAAGACTCAGTCTGTAGATAAGCAGCACGCCTCTGGGTTCTACAGTTCCTTCCACACTTCCCCTGAAGGATACATGATGGAAGCAGCCACAGGGTACCCATCTGTTTTTGTTGTGGATCCAACACTAAGGGATGTTCCCTTTGCGCCACCCAGATGGAGGAGTCGGAAGAAATGGCAAGCTGGTCAGCTGTTCTTGGGATTCTTGGTGCTGCTGATGCTGAGTGGCTTAACCATCCAAACCTATCTTCTGATTTCCTTTCGCAAGGAACTGGATACAGCAATGGCACAGGTCATAGAGAGTGATCAAGTGTGGTGAGAATGAGGTTCTAGTGGGGCAGGAAGGAGAAACCAGGGAGTTGGAGGAGGAACCTACTCAATGAATATGTTGGACCATGTGTCCTTGGTGTAATAGGGTTTGGCTTCTCTTCAGTTGAAACCAGGACAGCTATGCTATCATTTGTTGGTGTAGTTGGCTCCACATATTAAATGTGTGCTCTTGTATTTGTGCAGGGGTATGTGTGGTCTGTTGGAGAAAAGAGAATAATAATTTCTTAGGTATGATAAATTCAGAGGGTGGTACTGACAATGACCAAAGTAGCTTTCAAAATGCAAAAATTGGTGGGAGACAGAGAAAGAGAAAGGCACTTCCAGCAAGTTAATTGAACAGCAGGATTTAGATTTCAAAGGTCATTTAAAACAATGGAGCTTTTAAGAGCTATTCAATTAATCTGATCTAAGCATGAGGCCAATATTTAGTGTATGGTACTGCCATTTCTAGTCTCTTTTAATGTATCTTGTATGAGATGGAAATACAAAGGGAAATTAAACAATTACCTTGCCTCTTTCAGGGAATTTTACAGATAAGCCAGCAGAGAATATCTTCTGTTTTGAACCCTTCTATATTTTACAACTATTTTCACTTTTTTTCTTAAGGAGAAAATGACAGAAGCTGGGCTTCATATATTTATCTATGCTATATCAATAGCTTGCCTGATTTTGGTAGCATGTTCTATAATTTAACCACTGCATACTTTCTAAATCATTGCTAATAGCTAAACAAAATGTGTGAACCAACCCACTGAGGGTTGACATTCATAAATCAAGACTAATTGTGACTTAGCCTGATGTGTGATTCCAGCCACTGTAGCTCTGCTGTGCAGTTGGCTTCTTATCCTAGAATCCTCTCTTATTTTTTGCTCACTTCTGGATTATTAACTACTGATAAAAATGCAAAAATCGGAGGAAATGGTATCCTTCTATTCTGGCTTGGGGTTAAAACCTTTTATTGACAGAGATTCTAACTTCATACATGTTGCAAGCCACATAACCTAGGAAGGGTTTCCATGTTGAATTGAATTCTATATTAGATTTGTTTTACAAATTTGTCATTTTTACATCTCCTACAATTTAATTCGCCATTATTCTATAGACAGGATTATATGTAATTTCCAATGAGACGCACAACTTTCTTTTTTTACAGCTAACCCCTGGTTGTCATGATACAATAAAAGCCAAAATAATAATAACATAACATAAATGCATACCTAAACTAATGATAACAATTATTATTTATCATTATTATTCATGACTTTCTGTGATTTAAGATTTATTTCTATGCATATGTAGGCTAAGCATGAGACCAGGATATACAGCATTAGGAGGTTTCTTTTCTTATCACATTTCTAACAGAACCATAGTAGCATAGGTTTTCATGCAAAAAGGAGAGTTCTCTTCCTCTGTTTTTGCTGGCTTCCGTTCAGACTGACTTTCTGCTCTTGCAAATGCAATTAGATTTGGGGGCAGGGATAGGCAGTTCTAAGAAATATAAGCTATTTTCACTCCTATTTATGCCTTCACCAATTTACCCTCAGTGAAAATTCAACTCTTCAAAGTGAAGAATGACTGAATGTTAAAAAATCCTGTGAGGATATCTTGACCAATTCCATCCCATGCATGATCTCTGTCCATATAAACAGTTAATGCAAGACCAAACTTTGTGGATACGTGCACAGTTGGTGAATTCACCTTAATTTAACTTCTGTTATGGTTGTCCCAGCGGTCTGTTATTGTAATGATTGCTTTTTTCAAATATTTATGTACCTGTTGGAGAAATAGAGGGGAGCAACATGTGGAATCCAGATTTTTAAACTCTAGTTTTCTTTCTTTTGGTGGAAATTAATATTCCAAAGAAATATGTTAAATAAATAAGAATGTTTGTGGAGAGGAAGCATGTATGTGTAGCAAAAGGAGAGCTGTTGGGTAGTGAATTTCTCGTGCTTTTTCATTTCATTTATTAACAATTGTCTACTGGGTTTGGGTTTTTTTAGGGAACAGCCAATGCGACTGCTGAAAAAATTATACAAGGTAAATTTCTCTTCTCTTTTGTTTCAGTCTTCACCTACAGTTGTTTCCATATGATACCTTTAAGTGCCTCAATGTCATTATTTTTCAGCAATTAGCAGGAAGTAGAATTAAAACAGATTTCAGAGATAGTTTAATATAATATAACAGAAAATTCCATTCCCACATGACAGCGCCACAAAGAAAAGGACCAGGTTAGGGAGAGAGGGTCATGGAGCAAATCTATCTGTGGTCATTAAAATTCAACACCAACTTGATGGCACACAACCAATCCATCCAATGCTAAGTGACAATTTCTATGCTGCAGTTTCAGTCAATTTACATGCTACTCCTTCCCTCTTTGCAGAATGGGAAGTTTATTGATGAATGCCCCTTAATGGTGCTCTTTTAGCCCATTCTGACCCACAAAAGAGTATGCAAATGTGTACATGCATATTCACAGTTACTGGTGTCATCTCCTTACTGTTTTTCCTTTTCATTACAATAGCGAGTAGTCCCAAAAGTGCTTTTTTCCAAAAGGAAACTGTATGTTTCGCTTCATGGATGAGAAGTGAAATGTCTTCAAGGAGAAAACAAAGTCCAGTTGCCTTTTGGAAAAAAAGCACCTTTGAGATAACCATGACCTGGATGACTGAGAATCACCATAGACAATAGTGCTTGGTCATTTCACAGTCAATAATATACAAATGAAGCCTATGAGAATAATCAGATATTGAGATGGAAAGGGCTGGAAAGGCAATGATGGCTCAGTAGCATTTCTCAGATTCATTTTGCAATAGAACATAGTAAGTGCTAGGTGAATGATGGCAAATCATTTGGATTCAGCATGTCAAAAATTAGGGGGAAAAACCTAATTTGACCCTCTTGGCATGTCAACCCCTCTCCCAAACAAAAGAGAAACAATTCTCTATCTCCCTTCCACCTAGGCCACTCTGAACAACAACACTAGGTGACAGCACTGAGGCTGAGCCTGAAGTAAAGGCCCTGGGCCTCAATTTCACCCCTAGTGCCACCACTGCCATTCAAAAAGGCCATTCAAAAAGACCCTTCCTCAAGTCATGTGAGCCTTGGAGAATGGCATGATTGCTCTCATGGCCCGGTGTTCCCCAGAATTTGGTGCATGCTGCTTACCGTTAGGCGGTCTTCTGCAGCCTACCTGAAGTTTTTATTCTTAAGCAACTTCACAGAATGTTCTCCTGCACCCTCTGAAGACTGTACAAAAATCATTCTTTCACATCCTTCATGGTCTCCGAACAGTGCATGAAAATGGGGCATGTTTTTGAACAGTGGTTCTCAACCTGTGGGTCAGGACCCCATTTGGGGTCAAACGATCATTTCACGGGGGTCACAAAACAATGCAGTCCGCCATTTTTTCCCCCTTTTCCTTAGCTGTGCTACTCCCTTTTATTCTATTGGCTTTTGAAAGCCAATAGAATAGACTTTCTTGAATAGAGTCTAATTCTATTGATTTTCAAAAGCCAATAGGAATTGTCCAGGCTGTCTCTGCCCTGCTGAGCCTGCCAAAAGTCCCATTCTGCAAACGGTGCTGCACCAGTTGAGTAGTCCTCAACTTACGACCGGTTGGGGGTCGCAGCATTAAAAAGGTTGAGAACCACTGCTTTTGAGAATACTGTAGTTGGTGTCGAATGTTGTGAACGAAGATGTGTTGTGCCATGTCATCTTTGACATACATGTCATAGGTTTACCATCACTGTATTAGATGTATCAGTAGTCAAAGATCCTCCATCCAATCTTTTAAAAAAGACATTCAGGAATACTATTTTTAAAAATCACCATTTCTTAATTTTTTAATAATTCACTGATTGTAGTGGGTATTGCTCCTGTAATACAGTAAAAATACTCGCATTTCATCTCTTTATTCCAAAGCATTTCTTTGAGCTGAAGGAAAGTTGAAATGATCTGGATTTCTTAGCACTGCCCAGTTGCTCTATCACCAGAACAGACAGGCAATTATTTCTGAAAGGCAAAAAATGGAGGGCTCTATCACCTGTAGATAGATAGATAGATAGATAGATAGATAGATAGATAGATAGATAGATAGATAGATAGATAGATAGATAGATAGATAGATAGATAGAATCTCCCATTCCCTGTCAAAGTATTTGACAGGGAATTTTTCTGCTCCATTTCTAAAGTGCACGTTTCCCTGATATGTTGCCTGGGATGCTCCTGTCCATTTGGGGTAAAATTCTGCAAGTGAATTTCACTGGCTCCTATGGAGCCAATGCTTATCATTTACTCTAATGGTTTTTAGACCTAAAGAAGGTAGTATAGTCACTATGATCTGGCCTTTGAAACATTATTATTAGTTTTTCCCCTGGGATTTTTCTTTTTAAAATAAGTTCAGGACTCAATGTTTTTTTATTAATCTGAGGTAGAAAGGGTGGGGTTTTTTTTACATTTTGATACTTTACCTTTGTACATACGTGCATGTGTTGTGTTGTCTATATAAGATCTGCTTAAAACTGCTTAGAGTCAGGTTTGTGGAGGGCTGGAAGATTATTGATGAATGCCCCTTTAATGGCCCTCTGTTAGCCCTTTTGATAAGGCACCAAATGGCAAAATAATAAGGAATAATAAAGTGTTTTGTGGTAAAAACTACCAGTGTTATTCTGGCATAAACTTTAGTGAGCTACAGTTCATATTATTAGGGCTAACTAAGAGTCAGTTTGGTTTAGTGATTAAGGCACCAGGCTAGAAACCAGGAGACTGTGAGTTCTAATCTCATCTTATCATGCAAGCCGGCTGGGTGACTTTGAATCAATCCCTTTCTCTCTGCCCTTGATGCCAGGCTTGGGCAACAAGCTGGTTGGTCAATTCCTGTCACAAACAATGGATTAGTTGATTTAAAAAAAGTATACTGCACTTGTGGGAAAACACTAGGAAGAAAACTGTACCAAAGGTGCTTTTTCCAAAAGGCAGCTGGACTTTCTTGGGTTTTTTTTCCCTCTTGAAAACATTTTGCTTCTCATCCAAGAAGCTTCTTCAGTTTGTTATTATCAGAACTGAAAAAGCTTTCAAAAAGCTTTCAAAAGGAAAAATAAAACCAAGAAAGTCCAGTTGCCTTTTGGAAAAAGCACCTTTGAGACAACCATGACCTGGATAATTCAAAATCTCCATAGACTATATTTCCTTGGGTGAGTTAAAAAAAAGTCAAATCAAGTCTTTAAACTGATTACATTACCATTGCCCACCCTCTCAGTTACACTTCTGCTTACATACTGTGTCAATTTTTCCACACTTTAAGGGAATAATGTATAATACATTAGTGGAACAATTCATAGTAACCTATTATAAGCATGGAATAACGCTGTGGGTGAGACACTGTAGGAATATGGAGGGTCTATAAAAAAGATATACAGTATACATCTTGATAGAAACAGTGGAAAAAGTATTACCAAACAAACCATAAGAATTACTTTTTGAGAACTGTTTTTCCCACCAGGTCCCTCCCCCCAATGAAATATGACATTCAAAATTCTCAATGAGCATAACTATTGAAACTTGGGAGTTGTAGTCTCAAAACTTCTGAACACAACCAGGCTAGTAAAGGCTGAATGAGCAAGTGAAACATCAATAAACACAATTTGTCTAGCCAAGTCATGCAGTTTTCTCAAACATTAGTTGACAGTTACCTTGGTTCACCCAGCTGAATAGGAAAGAGCAATATGATGTTCTTCTTTAATTCCCATCAATTCTGGGAGGAATGTGCCTAGACTGCCATCTTTTTTGGTGCATAATTTAAGGCCCTGACACTGATTTACAAAGTCCTAATCAGCAGGACCTGATTATCTGAATGACTACATATTCCATTCTGCATCTGTCTTGGCACCAGGTCCTGCTTCAGAAAGATGCTCCTACTCTTCAAAGCCTAGTTAGCAAATGCATGGAGAGAATTTCATCTCTTGCTCCCAAATTACAGAACAATTCCCTGTAAAAACAGGTGATCCTAGTGGTAAAGACACTCGCCTCCCACTTGGAAGGTTGAAAGTTCAATCTTAGGTAGCAGCAGATGTTTCTCTCCTAAGGTGCATAGAAAAAATATCTGCTGCAAACTCCATTTAAGCGCCAGGAAGGGCATCCAACCAGTAAACACTCAGCTCCATCCACTCGCCTGGATTCTATCTGAATAGGGACTATAGGGTCATGAAAGAGAGTTTTATGCTATTGATAGTTTTGAATCTTTTGATGCATACAATTAATGTATTTTATTTTTCAATATATAATTACAGTCTATCATTTGCAATGTTTGTAATATGCCTTCGTTAGCGTGTATAGAGCTTGTACAGAGCCTTCTCAAGCAGGTACCTGTTTTGATAACAATCAGTTTCATTTTATTCCTTTTAACAGCTCCACTCAAGCTTCCTCTCAAAAGGCCATCTGCTCATCTGACACTAGGTAGGAAATCTTCTCATAAAGCCATATTTCTATTCATCTTTTAAATGCATGGAAGCTGAAGTAGGACTAGTTCACTGCATGTGAATAAGACAGAATCCTTGAGACCTGGCTGGGGGATTCTGGGAGTTGAAGTCCACACATCTTAAAATTGCTGAGGGTGAGGAACACTGCTTTAGACACATGTGAAGCTAACTCAGCCATTATGGTTGTCGTTTATTCCTCTGTTAGATTTCTATACCACTTTCCTTCCAGAAGAGTAAGGTGGTACTCTCTCCTTCAATTTATCCCTGTGATGGAAGGTACATTAAGAAAGAGAGAGGAATTATCTACTAAAATCACCCAGTGAGCATCATAGCTGAGGGGAGATGTCTCATACTTACAGCAAAGCAGCATCCATATGTGAGGATATTACGTTGAAATAAACCTGGCTGTTGGGGGTAAGGGAGGTAAAGCTCAGAGCTCACTGCCCTTTCCCTTCCCAAAATGTAGTTTCAGCTTAAATTGAGATAACGATTCTCCAACGTTCACAGTCCCCTCCATGCATATATATGTGTATGTGTGTGTTTTGAAGCCAGATTTTTAAAATTAGTTTTCATCGCTGATCTATTAGTGAAGGTTCTATGCAAATTGTTTGATTACCTCTCTGCCCATCTATGAAACAAGGCTGGTTGTGTTTTCCAGAACCCCCCGACACTGCAATTATAGACGGAGTCCTGCAGTGGGAACATCAGAACGGGTTTGCTTTTCTGCACGACATGGATTACAAAGCTGGTTCACTGATTTCCAATGAGCCTGGCTACTACTATGTCTATTCAAAGCTCACTTTGACATATTCAAGCTGTCTAACCAAACACCGGGGAAATTCCCTGTTCACCCACAGCGTTTACAAGAGGACATCTCAGTATCCCGAGGAGTTATTACTGCTGACCAACTACATTACCTATTGCAACTCTAAGGACAGTGAACAGTGGCAGGGCAATAGCTTCCTTGCTGGGGTGGTGTATCTAGAAGAGGAGGAAGAAGTGTTCATCAAAGTAACAAACGGGGAGCTGTTGTTCTACAGGGATGACTCGATATCACATTTTGGCACCTTCATGATCTAAAGGCTTGAAGGTTGTGCATAGACTTGATTTTAGTTGAGCAATGAGAAGGGCCTCTTTCTTGTACTGCAGTGGAGTCACCTCTCAACATTGCTTCAGCCGTTTTTCAAATACACTGAAGGAAGGGCAAGGGGCCTGCTCATTTTTTCAGAAGAAAAAGTTGTTTGATAAACTGTTGGATAGCCATGACCAAAATAGAAAAGGATGAGAAAATATTTGGGGGTGGGAGGGAGGACATAGAGCTAGCTGACATTTCTTTGACTGGCATCCCAAATGTATGCCTGTTTTAGGTGACAGGCGCACTTCTTTTGGGAGAGGGGGCATCTAACTCTGTTTTTTATACATTATTATTTGAAAAGCTGTAAAATCCTGCAAAGGCAGTTTTATAAGGAGTCATGGTGGACAAAGAAAATGAGAAGACAATGTATCACCTCATGGTCTCTGAAAAGCTGCTGTATGTACAGGAACCTTTCCTCACTTGCACCTACTCACAACATAAACCTGCCCTGGCAGTCTCTAGGTTCTGCCTTGTCCCCATGAGGTTGCCTTTGTCTTGTTCCCAGCAGCCCAGCACCGAGAAAAACCTTGTAATGATATTTTCCTCTCTTATCTTGACCCTTCCTGAGGGCAGCCTTGAGTTGTGTAAACTTTGTTGGGTTTTGTCACCCTTGGAGTGAAGTCAGGGAACTACCCCTGAGTGGAAACAAAAGTAATGGAGGCAGGGCATGGATGGGCTCTGGGCAGAGACAAGTTCTGCCTGGATGAGCTTGGAGGATGGGCAGCACTTCAACTCTGCAGTAGAGGAAGGCCCTAAGATCAAGATTGTGGACTCATGAGTCACTTCATCCTGAATGGTCTAACCAGCACATTCCAGAATGCCATTTTATAATTACACTGACACAGCATTGTTGAGCCAAGGAGCTTCCTGTGCTGGCGACTGTTGCTTATCATTGCAGTGAAATGTCAAATGTAAGCTAAGCTTGAACGACTGAGCAGCTTTCTGACTATGACATGGGTCCGATAGTCAGGAATAAATAGCCATTCCTTTGTTATTGGCTTCAGAGCCCAGGAAGCCATTTAGTACTTGGATAGACATTGCCACTTTGAGCCTTTAGGCCTTATTTATTCTCTGATGCTTCTCCCTCATCTCCTACCAAAGGATCTTGGAAGGGGTTATATTAACCATTCTCTTCTATGAGTGCCTAGCTGCTTTTCCTTTTGCACAGTGGCTGCATTAACATAGGAATATCCATAGAATAGTATTGGATCACGTGATCGTGTCACTACTGTAATGCCCAAAGAGGGCAGCCTTTCCTGGATTAGTCACTGGCTCATGCTAACCGATCAGGAATTATGTACTAAACAGAGCAACTCTTGCCAAACCGTTTGACCAATTATATTTGGTTACATAATATCTCTTAAGGAAAAGAGGAGCATTGAAATATTATTGAAAGCAGAGGAAGTATGATACTTTTTGAAATATGTGTGGATGGCCACCTTAATACTGAAGGTATGATTAAAAGTAAATCTAACCAAAATGACCTTTGCTCTAGTGCTTAGAGAAATCATTCAGTCCTTTATTAAATAAGAAGGAAATGGATTAATTCCAAATCTTGTATTGAATGGGATCACTATACATTGGCGTAAACCAGGGTCCCAAAGAAGGGCACTAAGCAATTTTAATGAAGCAGCTACTGTATGTATGTGATAAAATAAAATTTCAAAGATTAATGTGTCTTTACTGAAATATATTGCTTGTGGGACTGCTCTGAAATAGGACTTGAAAACTGCAGCTATGATCAAATATGGCAGCCAGGGATGTTCCCATGCCATATTACATCTTGTTTAAGTTACACTGGTTTCCAGATTATTTCCCAGCACAGTTCTTGTACTCTATTACCTTTAAAGCTTTCATCAGTTTAGATGGAGGTTTTCCTCATTGCCTCTTGACCTTGCAGGACACAGGTTAGCTGGCAGAAATGTCTGTGGAGTAGCAGAGGAAAGGTCCAAAAAATCAACAGCCAATTGAAGTCCTTTTTATCTGTGTTGCATGTAAAAATGGGGTAAGATCTTGATCATACAGTTGCAGCATGTTCTTTTTTTTAACCTCCTCTGCAGACATTCTGGGATAATCTCACTTGCAGGACCATGCCCTGGAAAATTTAGTTAGCTCCCTAGCTTTCACTCTTGAGAGATTGGTCAAAGCCTCTTCTTTTTCCAGGCTTTTTGGGAGAGTTAAGCTTGGCATCCTGCTGCTATACTTGATTGACTATTATTCAGTTACTTCCTATTCTTTTATGTTTTATTGAGATATTGCTATGATTCGATACTATAGGCTTTTCATCTGTATAATAAGTAACCTTATTATTTGTTTTGGAATTGAAAGACTGGTTTTATATCTCTGAAATAAACAAATACGCTTTTGCAAAAGCTATCTAAATGGTGTGGTCATGCAGTGCTGAGCAAAGTTCAAATGAAAAAGTTGGGATGACAAAAGATGTTGAGATGGCATAAGCCAGTTAGGCCTTGTTTTCTCTTATTTCATAACTTATTTGCCAATTCTGGTCAAAAGATACACATGCATATATGTGCCTCTCTCAGAACCATTTTCACATCTCTGAAAAATTCTCTGACACTAGATTCCTTGACTTTTCAATGGCTCTTTAATCTCTATTGTATTGTCTAATGATGTGTATAAGTCCTTCCTTCAAGAAAAGAACAATGGAATGAGACATCCCATGAGATGGTAGCATTTCACAGATGGCATCCAGAGCATGCTAACTCTGCTAGATCTTATCTGACAGATTGAAGCCATTGGACAAAGATGATTCCTTTGCTATCCAGTCCCTGAGCCTTACAGGGCTTTAGAGTTGTCTACCAAACCTGGAACCAGCTACTTACTAGTGCAGCTTCTGAATCGGAGTGTCACTTGTGTGGCTATAGGTTACGCTTCACTGTCTTAGCCACAATGAGCCGACTGTGGGCCTCCAGATGTAATGAAAAACATCATCTAGTATCCTTTATCATGAAATGTATCTCCTGGTGCAGCAGCTCCCCTGGAGATTGCAGACTATCTGCCTGGGTGGAAGATGCTACTTTTTTTAATGCTAGGGAATTACAATAAAACTGAGAATAATATAACTCTGCTTATTATGTATAGGGGGAAAGGTTTCTGGATAACTATGGATGAAAAACAAATAATAATTAGGTTCATTTGGAGATAAATAGGAAAGTGTTGGCAATAGATGTTTGCAATGTTATTATAAAGATTCACATGGTTTCTGCTGTGCCTCACACTTGCTTCCTTTAGTCAAACCGCATCATAGGGGGCTCGATAGCATTACAGAAAGGATTTCCTGTGGCCTGCAATGCTTGGCTGGCTGGAGTGTGTTGAAGAGAAGGGCGGTAGATGGAAAACTGCAACATTTTTGTAACCTGAACCAAAACCATGAGCTCAGTTTTAGCAGCATTTGTGGTAGAAAGCCATCCACTATGAGCTTCATTTACTGAATACTGGCCCTTGTGAAAGGAACAAATGAAATTCCAGGACATTAACCTGAGGCTCCAGGTTCCTCCATCAGCAGCATCCTGTAGTCCTTACACTGAATGTTCACGAAGATGAGTGAAACCTGAAAAATTACTGAAAATACACAGGGTGCTTTCAAGTACATGAAAATCACTCTCTCTTTAGCTTAGAGCTTATCCCCATTTGCCCTTAACCACAATACAAAAATCTCAAAGCGAAACAGGTACAAGCCACCATTATCTGTTCAGGGTTAAAACTTCTATTTCCACCCTTAAGCCGGACATCATCTATTGAGGCTTTAAAAGCTGTTGTGTTTCACTGATTTATGTCAGAAACAGGTCAGGAGGGGGGGGTTAATAGTCTTATTGGACATTTTAGACTGCACCCTCTGCTTGTAAGGGTATGTGGGAATGACCCCGGGAGACTACGGGAGGGGAGACGAAGATGCTGCCTAGGGAATGATCAGATAAGGTCTGATCATAGGGAGAGAAGGCATGGCCTGCAGCTACATAATGGATGGAGAAAGAACCTCAGAAGGGAACCCTCCCACCCACCCCACAACTTCTCAAGCTGTAAAAGAGAGGATGAGAGATTTGTACTACCAGATCTGCAGAACTGATATTAGCCTTCCCAAGTAGACCAGACAGGAAACAATAATAGATGAGCTATTCTATTGTAAGGCTACATTAACACATTTTGTTAATTTGATTGGGGGGCTTTTCAAATCCCCCACCATCTCTTTTTACATCCTCAGAAGTTACGCAGTGATGTGGAACAGAGGGACATAGAGGCAGTGCAGGGAAGGCAATTAGAGCCACAAATATCATGCTGGTGCAATTTGGGGTCAACATGAGGATGGGTGGAAATAACCCAGCAGCACGGAAGGCCCTCAAACCAGTTGTTACTCAGATATCCCCAAAGCTCAAATGGCTTGTGGCTGCCACCACTGCCGCTGATGGCTCGGTGCATAGAATTTTGTGCAAACCATGACCTACATCCAAGTTTGTCAGGAAAATTCTTTTAGTGGGCAGTTCTTAAAACTCCCTTCCCTTCTCTTTAAAAGGCCCCGTTTCTGAGAACTTAAGGCTAGGAAAGTACCAATGATTGTATCAAATAATGCAAGTCTTTTATTCTAACTTTTCTTCTATCACAAATTCGATCAAGAAAACCACCATTGCCATTATGTGGACAGGAGTAATCTGTCCTTCTGTACTGTTAGGAAGTTCATTTTCCCCCAAGATATATATCTCTTCTTCCGTGTATGGCACTAGCACAAATCTAACATGTATTTGAAACAAACACCAGTAAGCACTATACATTCAATCAAATCATATCCATTAAGAGTTTCTATTGGGGAAGTTGTGCATCTGAACTAGGGTAGAAAAGTAATTTATGCATAGTATAGAATTCCATATCCTACTTCTCCCAAACTGCTTAAGATAACTAGAATTTATCCTTACTACAAATATACAATATTTCTATAATGATAATAAATCTAATCATCAAATAAAATAAAAATAAAAATTTAATTTTTATCTTTTTCAAGCAAGGTCCAAAAGTGGTCTCCAAATAGAAACAAACCTGGATAAACTTTTGCCTTTCATCAAATACATGATAGATGATTTTGTATCTTTGCCAGTTCTATTAATTTCACAACCCACTCTTTGATTGGCAGAGTTTGTATATCTTTCCATTTCTGCGCATACAAAAGTCTTGCTGCTGTTGTCATAGAAAGAAACAAAGTCCCATGTTCTTTCAATCTTCTTATCTGTAATACCTAAAAGAAAAGCTTCTGGTTTCAATTGTATATCCATTTATAGTATCTTCTGAATCAAACAGCATTCACTGGGCACAATACTTCTTGAAATTGTCCACCAAAGATAATAAAAAGTACGTTCACGCTGATTACCTTTCCAACACTTATTTGATATATCCTTATATACCTTTCACAATTTCTCGGCATTAAATGCCAAAGATACAACATTTTAGTTTAAAAAAATCTTTGATATTATAAATCACTGAAAATTTTAATCCATTAATCCACATACTTTCCCACTGATCAAACAATATTATATCCAAAGTTTTTGGACCATTTTAATCATTTAATCATACATTCTTTAACATATTGATCCTTTTGATTTGTTTTCAACAACAGTTTTATACCTTTAATTAATTATATACCTAATGATGAATAATAATAATATATCATCATTAATATATAAATCCCTTTCAAAATCTGTTTTATCATATACAAAAACAGTTCTTTTTATCCAGTTTCAATCTTTCTACCATAGGGAAACCGTTGGCAAATATGACCTACTTTTCTCAACTCTTCTCTTGTTTTTAATCTAGGTACTCTTTCAATAAAGGTCAATAAATCAGCATAGGTCAACCAGGTTTGTGTAACTCTCATTTCTCTTCTAAAAACAGCTTCCTGGGGTAACAACCATAATGGATTTTTGGAGAAGATCTTGCTGTCATGGCTGCGATGCCACATATCACAAGCTGACAGCCTGACATCAGTAACCGAGGGTGGGAGCAGGGAGGGGTTAGGGACGCAGGGAGAGAACCATGAATCAAAACCAAGCCATGCCGTCTCCTGAGAAGCATCAGCCATTTCAAGGTCACACCAAAAGAATGCTGAACCGGTGAGTGCATGAAGATAGGGACCGTTTCCCAAACAATTTGTTACAACCTAATTGGACATTGACTAATAATCGGGAGGGGGGGTTGGCCAAGAACCAGGGAAAGTTAACTGCATCTTTTGTATGTAAAAATCTCAGATCGAGCTTTGCTTCCTCTGTGACCACTTTGGCTTTGGTAAAGTATACTTCTGTCTAACTATGGGCCAGGAGTCTTTCTTTCCTAACTACCAAGTTGGGATGGTTGACACTTGCTTTATGTGTACAGGGAGTCAGGCTGTCTGTTGAAGGGGGTGGTGTTCCCCACTTGAAAGAGGCAGTGGTGTGCCCCCTCTTTAAGAGGCCATCCTTCCCTTTTGGGAGAAGGTTGTTGAGAAGGTGGTCAGTCTGCAACTGATGAGAATTCTGAAGGAAACAAATTATTTAGATCCATTTCAATCAAATTTCAAGTTAGGACTTAATATTGTGACAGTTTGGTCATAGAGGTTGATAATCTGTGGCAGAGCTGGGATGGCAGCTCTGTGTACTTGTGTACTTGTGTTCCTTGATCTCTTTGTCATTTTTAATACTGTTGACCACAGTATCCTTCTGAGCCAGCTACACGAGTTGGGATTGGGGGCATCGTTTTATGGTAATTCTCCTTATTTCTCTGAGGTTGAGAAAGATTGTCCCCAAGACCCCTAATTTGTGGAGTGCTTCAAAACTCTATTCTCTTTTCCCTCCTTTTCAACATTACATGAAACCATTGGATGAGGTCAAATACCCAAATTACACAATTCTAAATTACATACCCAATTAACTTATGATACCCAATTATATCTTTTGACTTTGATGTTATTGATATGAGAACAAACTTGGGAAAAGAGCACAACCAAGGCAATGGTCAGATAAGAGGCAGCTTACTCTACAGCAGGAATTGGGGCATGGCAACTCTCAGAAGGGACTCTCCCTAATTTCTTGGGCTGCAAAGGTGTCAAGGAAGAAATGTACTTTCAGATTTGCATGATTTTGTGAATTTAACCTTACAATAAAAATTAGTTTATCTGGGCATCCCTTGGGGTGGACTACCTTGCAAAGCTGACATCTGGGCTAGCCAAGTGAAGCTGGCCAGGTTATTTCCCAGTACCTGGAGGCTGTGTAAATTTAGATGGGGGAGAACCATTTCCAATGCAATCCTACCACGATTAGGTGATTGTGAGTATTTAGACTGACAAGATCTGGAAATACTGCAACTTTGACTT